AAACAGCTGACACATCGTATAGTCTTCGGAATTTATAACATAGAATACGCGGTTATAGCCTAAATCGGGTGGGTTAGAAAATTGAACTATTTCAATACGCAACAAAGAAGAAGAAGAAGAAGAATAATAATAATAGTAAATAAAAAAAAAAAAATAAAAAAAAAATTTAAAAAAAAAAAATAAAATAAAATAAAAAAAAAAAAAAAGGAAAAGGAAAAGGATATAAGAATTTTCGGTGACTAACTTAAAAAAATTCTAAATCACATCATCTCCTGCCAATCTCAATCTTAAACCTTTGCTTTGGATCCCCTGTACGCACACAACTCCGGAGGTCAAAATAAAGTTACAGCATCAGCCAGTCCCCAGCAAAATATTTACCTTGGTGGAAAATGATTCTGGTGGGTATCAAATCTTCGTAAAATTGTTGCTACTGGTAATTCAAAAAAGGCACCAGATCATGCTGGATTGTTCCTCACTGAATACAACTGCTATTGCAGTTTTCACTGGCATTGTCTACTGTCACCTCCAGATACCTGCTCAGTCATTGCATCATCCCATTGAATTGAAAGAAATCTAAATCACAAATTACAGTCATAGATTTAAGTTGGCTCATCTCTCTTACATTCACAGTCAACCTACTATCAGATAAGTAACTGGGCTGAGAGTCCATCTGACACTCTCACTTCGTGCTACTCCCCGATCACAGTGTAATTTGATGTCTCAGCGAAGTTTAGTCTGTTGTCGCCCAGGAACAAACAGTTACACAGTTTCTTCTGATGGTCAAATTACCCAATACTCATCATTCAGATTAACCCCCTGTATGAAATCCAGCCATGCTTGCTCTGTTGTAGGCCCTCTCTCATGACCTCATAGTCAAGAGGAAACGAACAAAGATAAAGACAACACAGCCATCAGGAAGCTACATCTCTGACGAGCCAGAGTCAATAGTAATTAATCTTGAGTTTGTCCTCTTAACGACCACAGGCCAAAAAGAAAATATACACCATACATATACTTGATCGATTCCCGCAGCCCCAATATACGGCACGCGACGCAATGCAGTGAGCAGATCTCATAAATGTCCGCTTCCCTTTAGTAGAAGACGGGGTGCCCCTTTTCAGCCTTTTCACAAAGGCCGCTTTCAACTGGTTAGAACGATGAACAAACAAGGAGAGGGGGGGGGGGATATTTCGCAAGAAGCAAATGGACGCTGGACGCTGTATGTACTTGTACTTTCTTCCAGAGTGCCATGTAGAAGCCCGGAAAGACAGAATCTTTTCAGGCCCTTTTTTTTGTGACGTTGGAGAACAACCCTTGCCGACACGTTTGACGAGCACAGCCCTGGCCCTTCAAATGGTGCATAGATGAGA